ATTCAAACATTTTTAGAAGGGCAATATTTATGCTTCAGTTATAAATACTGAAATTTAAAAAGTAACTTATAAGTGTAGATACACATAATCTAGAATTATATTAACTGGTATATACTAAATTATGTTATAGTTTTCAAGAAAATTATGCAGCCTCAAATTTTCTACTTTCTACTGTCATGAAATATATTTTCTATTGGTTGTTCCAGTGTCTCACAGACATGAATTTTACATTGTTCTGGGATTTGCTGTTCAAAGGGTGTAACATTAAAAGCCTGTGATCACTAGAACGTATCATTGTTTTGGTCTATATAATTTGTAATAATATCTATTTGCTTTAAATAAGCCTCTTTAAGACAAACCAGAACTTCAAGTACCAGTTAAATTTTTACAGTGATAAAAATTATGTGCACTGGTTTGTACATGTTAAAAAACTGTTGAAATGGCAAATGTTTTGATATACATTTTTCTACCATAATAAAAAATTTATGCAAAAACAGTTCAAGTATATAAGATCCTTTTAATTAGAGAATAAATTCCTTCTAGAAAGCAAAAATAGTAAAGAAAACATAGTTTAAAAAAAGTCAATAAAACAAACCCCAAAGTTGCTGCCTGTAAGGGATGCATTCTCTATGTTGTTGTCATTGGCGAGATCACAAACGCAGAAATTGTTGACTGATATTAGCCTGACTCCATTGGAGATTTCTGGATCTCTCTCTGGATTGATGCCACTACCAAAAACAAAGCTTGCCAAGGCATGATAATGTGCCAGTAGGACCACGGCATGTACCAGTTCTGGCAGAGACCAATTATTTTCTCCAGTTTTGACAAGTTTCTGAAATGAGAAAGCAGGTAAGAGTAAATGTGAAAATCACAGAATGCTATGAAGGAATTTAAAAAAAAACATGGAAAATCTACCAAATTTCATATACCCATTCATAGCAGTAAAACTTAAAACCCTCTTCTAAAAATGTTTCATACATTAAATATATGGCTTTGGTTAAACAATGCTGCATTCGAATGATCAAACCTAACAATAAAATTATGTGTGGCTTCTTTTATTAAATCCCTTATATATACAACAGAACTTTGGCTTCTGAAGCATCTTTATATATTATGCTATTTTAATAAGATACTTGAAAGAATCACAGAACACTGAGGCTAGAAGGGATATTAAAGATTGTCTGGCAAAACCATTCATTTAATGTTTAACTTTTTTTTTTTTGGAAACTTTGTTCCATAAAGTCACATAAAAATCCAATTTAGTAAGTCAAATTTTGGTTAAATTTTAGATATTCTCTCTGATGGAGAAAGACACTACAGCAGATAATAGAAACTGTAGAATACAACCTCACATTTGAAAAAGAACATAAAAAATTCAAAGCATGTTCTTTTTTTTTATTGTGCTTTAAGTGAAAGTTTACAATTCAAGTTAGTTTCTCATATAAAAATTTATACACACATTGTTATGTGACCCTAGTTGCTCTCCCTGTACTGTGACAGCACACTCCTCCTTTCCACCCCTGATTTCTCATGTCCATTCAACCAGCTCCTGACCCTCTCTGCCTTCTCATCTCGCCTCTGGACAGGAGCTGCCCGTTTAGTCTCATGTATCTACTTGAGTTAAGAAGCACACTCTTCATGAGTATCATTTTATCCCATAGTCCAGTCTAATCTTTGTCTGAAGAGTTGGCCTCGGGAATGGTTTTAGTTTTGGGCTAACAGAGAGTCTGGGGGTCATGTCTTCTGGGGTCCCTCCAGTCTCAGTCAGACCATTAAGTCTGGTCTTTTTTACCAGGATTTGAGTTCTGCACCCTACTTTTCTCCTGCTCCATCAGGGACTCTCTGTTTTGTTCCCTGTCAGGGTGGTCATCGGTGGTAGCTGGGCACCATCTAGTTCTGGTCTCAGGCTTATGGAGTCTCTGGTTTATATCAAAGCACTTTCTTATATGCAATTGTATGACTTGATAAAACTGCCATAGAGCTTTCCAATGTCTTTGCCAATCTCATTAAACCTGACAGGATAGTCAATACTCATCACCTCTAATTTCTTACCCCACATTCATTCTCATTTCTTTCTTCATTATAATCTGGTTGTTTTTTTCAGCCGAACTCCTGAAGCTACATTCATTAATGTTACACATGACCTCCAAATGGCCAAATCAGTTCTTTTTAGTCCTTCATTGTTGCTGTTAGGTGCTGTCAAGTCATTTCTGACTCATAGTGACCTTATGTACAACAGAACAAAGTTCAACTGAAACCAGTCCACCATGGGTGACCCTTATTGTATTTTTTTTTTTTAAATTGTGCTTTAGATGATGGTTTACAGAGCAAATCAGTTTCTCATTAAACAATTAATACACGTTGTTCAGTGACATTGGTTGCCAACCCCGCAACGTGTCAACACTCTCCCCTTCTCAACCTTGGGTTCCCCATTTCCATTCGTCCAGATTTCCTGTCCCTTCCTGCCTTCTCATCCTTGCCTCTGGGCTGATGTGCCCATTTAGTCTCATATACATGGTTGAACTACGTGTATTATTGTTTGTTTTATAGGCCTTGTCCAATCTTTGGCTGAAGGGTGAACCTCAGGAGTGACTTCAGTACTGAGTGTCTGGGGCCATACTCTCAGGGTTTCTCCAGTCTCTGTCAAACCAGTAAATCTGGTCTTTGTGAGTCAGAATTTTGTTCTACATTTTTCTCCAGCTCTGTTTGGGACCCTCTGTTGTGATCCCTGTCAGAGCAGTTGGTGGTGGTAACTGGGTAGCATCTAGCTGTGCTCGCCTCAGTCTGGTGGAGGCTGTGGTACATTGGACTAATCTTTCCCTTGTGTCTTTGGTTTTCTTCATTATCCCTT